AGACCATCGCACGAGGCTGCTGATGACGGGGCGCAAGTAATAGTGAAGCCACCTGCCCTGGCGATTCCAGGGACATACGTATCTAGCCATTGGCCCGGCGAGAACTATTGCGCGCCGATGATAACCAAGTCAGTCATGATGACAACGAGAACTCCAAGGATTGCAAGCCAATATATATTGCTTCCCTGACCGTCCCGATCGAGGTCGCTTGACTGATACTTACCTTTACAGGACCATTGTGAAGCCCCAGCCGTAAGAGTCGGACCCGTTCATTGACATTTTCAATTTGGCTTAGCTTCACAGAATGTAATTCCTGAACGCCGGGTGAGGTGCCGTCTGTTAGCCTCGATCAACAGGGCCAAGTGACGTCGGCAATGGCTTGAAAGCCGTAAAAACCATGAATACGGAAGGAAGGATAAAACTGAGAAAAGCGAAACAGAGTCAATCATCTGGAGGGGCCATCACAAACAGCTTCTCTTGGTTCCTCGGCGGTCCGGTCGAGGTGGCTTGATTTGCTCGTCATTGCTCTGCAGCAACTGCTGAAGCGTGGCAGATTACCGATATGCAATCTCGATCTTGCGAATGGATACGTCCTGTAGAAACCCTGCTTAAGAAAGTGTAGGACGTTGCGGATTTTGTACATAATTTAAATGGTGCATTTCAGTGTAATGCCAACCTAGTCCCGGATCTGGACCAGACTAGACGTCACTTCTACGGAGTTTGGGGTGCCGAGGGATGAGAGTGGAGACTTAACCCAGGTACTCTAAGACTGGCCTACTTAAAAGCTAACGACTACATGTCCGACTCATTGAAAGCTATCCCAATCTGGTGCTGTGCATCAGCATGAATTTTGGTGTTAGTACAAGGATAACCAGATCCAGTCTTTGAAGATATTACAAATTTCATGATTTGAAAGGGACGCCTGGCCGTTAGAAACATCCAGCCGGAACAGGTTACTTCAGAGGAATGTGACTGTGATACCGTGATAGTGAATTTCTGGTTGATTCTATACTCTGAACTGAGAGTATCTAATAGCATCGTGTAATTTTGTCCGATTCATGTTGCCCCATGAGATGCCTCCTGCCACTGCCCTGCCCTCCCCCTTTTCACTCTAGTGACCTACGAAGGCTCAGTCCAATTCACTTGATCCAAGACTTTTCCGACAGAGGGATGATCGTAGCCAATTCTGAGGCGAAGGCGTAGGGGCTGCGTAAAACGTTAGCAATCAATCAAAGATATGAAATATATTGAGACACAGCGAGATCGGCCGTAGAAGAACGAAAGAGGGGATTGCTACGAGATTGAGACACGGGAAACCATCTTACCCCTTTACACCCAGATATTCTCATCATCTGGGTGGCATCCGCGCCAGGATATAATTCTGAGGACGAAATGTTGAGAAGTTGGAGTTTCTGAGATTTGGGAACGGCAGCTTGCAACCCGACGTGAGAGAGTGATGTTGATGCGGAGAGGTTCTGGAAACGCGCCACAGCTTGAATGAGACCCTCTGCGTTCCTTTGGACTTGAATGGTTACACTCAGGTCGTTGGCGTTGTAACAGGGATGTCCCAGTTCAACCTGAGATGCCTGTGTCTGAGGGGAGCTATTGCCCATCAAGTCCAGGCCTACAGGAGTTTGTGCCGACGAAGTGGTTGACTGGTTTGGTCCGGTCCCGAATAAATCCATAATTGAGGGCACATTTGCTGGCTGGGGAGCATGTGGCGATGTAGACGTCGGGGGCGGTGTTGAAGCGCTGCCTCCCAGAATGTCTGCCAGAAGATCCGAGTTGGTAGTCTGAGCTGGCCCCGAGGTAGTTGGTGCAGGAGCATCCATAAGGTCGAGCAGGTCCTGCTCTGTTGGCTTTAGCACCCTGGATTTTCTATTCGTAGCCTTTGCTTTCTTGGTAGGCGCTGGGCCAAGAACTCTAGATGACTCTTTGATTTGTGGCGGAGGCATTTTCTCCAGGACACCACGACGAATCTGGTCAAATGAGAATAAATTGCCGTACTCAACTGCTCGTTGCTGTACTTCGACATCGAGGCTCGTTTGGTGACTTTGTAGAAGCCGCCTTATTCTCTCAACTTGCGAAGCCTCTGAAAAGCGAGTGGTGAGCTTCATCAAGGCGGTAATAATGTATTCGGTAGAGACTTGTGTCGCATAGCTGCTGTTTAATATCAGCGCAAACAAGTCGACTACTTCGTGTTCTTTGACCTCCTGAACGAGCTCTTCCTCTTCATACTGCCCCCCCTTGAGCAGAGCATCGGCATATTCGCCAACGCACCAAGCGCCCGCTTGGGTCAGGCTTTCCTGGGTGATATCCTTCTTAAGGTTGACATATAACTTCTGTACCGCATACGTTTGAAGCTCCGGGGTGGTTGCTATAAGCCGAACAAACGACGAGAGAATTTGTTCTTTAACATAGTTTCCCGCTAATGACAGCACCCGAAGCATGGTATCGAAATGCCACCTTTTGTTCGGGGCAAACTTGTCCGCCGCAATTCCAATTTGACTTGTCATGGTAGGCTTGAATTCGTTGTCTGCAACTTCTAAGAAGGCCAGAAGCTCTCTGATTAGGACTCGTACATTGCTCTCGTTTATTAGAGTGAAGCTGAGATCAAGAGCACGTCTTCGTATGCTAATATCCGGATCCCTCAGACATTCCAGGATTGTGTTGCGGTGTCTTTGAACGGCATTGGGCTCGATGGCCACAACCTTTATAAGGGTATTCAGAGCCACGTAACGGATGTTGTTGTCACGGTTGGCAAGAAACTTGCCGAGGATATTGACTCCCAAGACCCTCAGTCCAGAATCTGCTTCGATATCTAGGATTGTACGAACCGCCTCATAAAGAATAGAATTTCCAACATTCTTCGATGAGTCTGTATTGGTTGCGACTTGCGCTAGAATATCGTTGATTTGTTCGCTTGTCTCTGGATCGCCAATGGCAAGAATCCTGAGCAGTCGAAGGAGCTTTACTTGAAGGAAAGGGTCCGTGATGCCAGTAACATCATGTTCTGGGGCATAGCCGGAGGTTGAAAGACCTTTCAGTGTCTTGACAAGACCCGGAACAAACGACCTAAACTTGTCAACAATGCCATCTTCACCTCCTTCTTCTTCGTCTGCTTCACACAGACTCGTGACCAGGGTCAGACCACAGAGAAGGACGCCATGGTTTCTGTCCGCTAACAAATGTGTGGCTTTATCCAAGAAGTGTTCTTGTAGGTCGGGGACCTTGCGGCAGATTCTCATGGCGCAGAGAGCAGCCTTCCTCCGAATATAAGGGTTTGACGTGGATATCAAGTTCTCAATCTCAGGAAATAGATCTCTTGACATTTCAATAGAGGCGATATTGCCTAGAGTGCATAGGGCAAGTCCGACGATGTATTGATTCGAGTGGCCAAGATCACTACAAGCTGGTTAGCTTTGATCCCGATGTCAAAGGTGCAGAGAATCGAGATACTTTTTTAATGAGTTTGTAACCAGGGTTAAAACCTCTTGGTTCTCATCTAGGAGCAAACTCGTAGCAAGATGTCCGAGACGTTTATCCGCGAATCGAGGAGAGGCGAGTAGCTTCAGACACTCAATCTGGCCAAAATGGGTTCGTTCCCCGAGCGTGAAGAGATACAGCAATTTGGCAACGTTGTTGCGGCTGGTCCGATACCGTTAGCTCATCAAATGCAATAACAGACATTACTACGAAAGCTTACCGAACGCCATGGTCGTGACTCTCCTCCCGAAAGCTCGCGCGAATAGCTGCACTCTCTTTTTGAATCACCGCGCGCTCATCCGCGATGGTCTTTGCCGCACGAACATTGCGAATAAATTGCTTTACTGTGAATACAGTTAATCGTTAAATGGCAAATAAAACCTCTCAAAAGGGAAAACCTTACGCGAGCTCATCCTGAAGTGCAGGCGCCCAACATGCGCATTATCGGTCAAGGGGTCCAGGGAACTGGTCGGGGTCGAGGAGCCAAGTGTATCGCGGAAGGAGTCGCTCTGGCCCTCGATGCCCCAACTTTCTGGATGTAGTACCAAGGTCTCTGTAGCTTTCAGTTAGTTCCGTCCAATGCCAATGCAAAGGACAGCGCGAGAAACCAGGAATTAAATGGCAGACGACGACCACTGTAGACTGTGTCCAGACGTCTTGGGATTGCAGGTTGTCGAAACGTGGGGCAGCTGATGCTTGCTCAGCCAGGAGACTCCTAATTGGGTATCCACATAGAGCCACTGGCTTCCTTGGGTGTAATACTGGGCTTGGACAGAGGAAAATCAACGGCCCGATGGACACAAACATATTAACTATTAGTTCGTACCGGAGTACAACTGGAAGCTAATAACAGTCCTCACGCTCGTCCCAGTGTCTAACCCCCAATGCTAGCCCAGCTCTATTTTCACATGTGTTTTCGGACGTATTACGGCCCGCACAATCTGAGGACAATCTGCAATAACTTTGCAATACTACTGGGGCGGGCATGTCACAGTTTTGGCTCAGACACAGTGGCCCGGCTCGACAAATGCAATATTGGAAGTTGCGTCTGGTACTTTCGTGAAAATTCAAGGACACGTTGGATGTTGGATGCCTTGTTTTGCACAAGGCATAAATGAACTGCTTTCCTTACTAATTCCACCAACACACAATCATTCTACCTATCCCAGGTACATAGGCACCCAGGTATGAAGATAACCGCAACAGGCGGAGGTCGTCGCGAACAAAAACAGAGAACCGACAAAACACCCAGGATAGACCCTTCTTCCCTGTAAACATAACAGTGCCCTATCCATTGATATTCCCTGATGACTAGTAGAATCTCCAACACCATAGAAGGAGAGTTAAGACACCAAATCCTGTTCCAGCCCTCTAAAGCGCCATCGCGTTCATGGGTCAACAGCTGAGGCATGTAGGTGGCTGCCTGAGCGTTCTGATCGGGGTTCTAGCATAAGCCAGCAAGCAGACCATTGAGAACCACCCATCTTGACTTTTTTGTTCTAAAAAACGACTGCTTACTTCTGCATCATAAGCTGGACAAATTCGTTGTCTGCCAAACGGATTAGTAGAGGAACGTTTCGAAAGGCTCGGCTTGATGGTTCCATACAATCAATTCGGCCGTCGCCGTCCTGATCAGCCTCCCGAATCATCTCGTCAACCTCGTCGTCGGTGAGTTTTTCGCCAATAGAAGTCATAACATGACGTAGCTCTGCTGCCGAGATAAACCCATTGTTGTCTCGGTCAAACACCTGTGTTCAAGTTGAGTTTTGCAAGTCGCTTGTGACGAGAGCATAGATGGGGGCTATAATCACCTTGAACGCCTCTCTGATCTCCTCCTCGGAATCAGTGTCCTTCATTTTTCGGGCCATCATGGTCAGGAATTCTACAATTAGAGGGGGCACATCGTGTGTTAATCGCTGTGAGTGTCACCATGGTTTGTAACAATCTCGGGGCGAGTCTTACCAGGAAAGTCGATGGTGCCGTTGTTGTCAGCATCCACCTCGTTAATCATGTCCTGCAACTCCGATTCGGACGGGTTTTGGCCCAGGGAACGCATGACGGTGCCCAGCTCCTTGGTGGTAATCTGACCTAAACGCAGGTGTGATCAGCTATGAAGTCGCGAGATCGATATTCTCTCGGCACAAGACGTAGACAATTAAGCCAAGGGGATGGGGCAGTGAACAACGAGCCCTATATACTTTGATGCGACTCGTGCGACTCGTTCCGACTGTGCAAAAGCGGCGGTACTTACCATCTCCATCCTTGTCCTAAAGGCACAGGTAAGCATGTGAAGGCCTAACCCATAGCAGAGGCATTAGATCTGTCTTTTAACTTACAAACAGAGAGAATGCCTCCTTGAACTCGGAGACCTGCTCCTCGGTAAGAGAGTCGGCCTGTGGTGCAACCGAATTAGCCAAGGCGACGATGGTGCAAGCCGGCCCCTCACCCAACCGCGAGGCAGGAGCGCAGGGAGGGCGCGGGGTTGCAGAGCACAGGGACGCAAAACTGATTACACTGATGGAAATCTGAGCTTAACTCACCATGGTAGGTACGTGGATAGAGCGAGCGGGATACGGCGGAGGAGACGCAGCAATTTGCGAAGAGTTGTTAATGGCGCGAGGTAAGATGCAAGTTCGTGGTCTTGGCTCAGACTCAGGGATGGGCAGCTTTGGTTCGGGGGGTTGTCGTAAGGAGGAAAGCAGAGTGGGGTGAGGCATAGATGCCTCGCCTTGATCTTGACGTTGCGATCAATGGCCCAAGACCGGCCCTACGGCGGCCCAAGACCCTAGTCGCCCCAAGAATCAACCAATTCGCCCGGTTTGTGTGCGTGTGGTTTTGCCAGTGGCCCAGTGGCTTCTTGTACAGATATCCAGTAGGATACCAATCAACATTGAATGTACGACGCCGACGGTGATTTTGTGGCCCTTATTATTACATGCAACATCTGAACATCTGAATATTCAGTCTTCACCGTTGCAAGCTCGAGCAATCCACTGTCACTGAATATACTATGCACACATGCAACCATATGACGGTTCCGCCTCCTACCATGTACGCAGAGCACTCACGTCGGACGGCGTCATAAGCCCAAAAGACCGTTAAATTTTAATGTCCAGAAGTCACCATTGTAATAGTCCTGGATGTTTCGGCTGTTACAGTGAAGCCACTAGAGGACCGCATGTGCGCGCTGGAATAACTTCCCAACCCGCCCATTTCTGGTCCATGCCATGCTGTAAATGCCTGTGCAGTGCCTCGAACAACATTTGAACCAACCAGACTTGACTGTACATTGTACATGTAGCACCAGACCCGACCTGGAGCCGCTCAAGGCACTGGGCTTAGTGTCTGGTGACAGAGCTCCGATGCCAGTTGGCCCCTGTACTTCAGTCCTACTTACTAAGTACCTACCTACTTAGGTAGGTGCCTAGGTACTTAAGTACTTAAAGTAAATACTTAGAAGTTACCATGTACTTACATTGTACCAGGCCCTCGTCACTGCCTTCAATGTTGTCCCACGTCTGCGACAAGCCAGCTCACCTCCAACCCGCGCACACCATTACTTGCGACACGATACAGCACGACACAGAAAAACGTCTTATCCTTGGATACTGTTGCCGCTCTTCCATGCCCTGATTTTCTGTATTGTGAAGTTTCCAAAGGCTACTCCGTCTCGGAGGTCACAGCAACAAGCTCTCTGCGTCCGCCATGTGGCGAGACCGCACCAACCTGTATGTGCGCTCCCACTCCAGTATACCTCGACGAGCCGAGGCAGGAGCTTGCGCGCATGGCTCTGCATTCTGCTAACTTGCATTGAATTCAGCTATATTTCCTACCGTCAATCGTACGCACATCATCCGACGCAGCGGAACAAGTATGTCGGCTCGAATATCTCAGGCTCCAATGCCTTCTCTGCTGCGTACTCAAGTAGCAGCTATGCTGCTGAAGATCGAAGGGGGCTCCTCTCGAGTGGCGGGTTCGACGACGATGGCGACGCGGTGATTGAGATGGATTTGCTGCCGCCTCGCTGGGCTGATGTCTCCGACGAGATTACTGAGTTGCTGGCCGACGTGGCGACCAACGGACACAACCTTGAGAAGCTACATCAGCAGCATGTCCTCCCGGGATTTAATGACGACGAGGCAAAAAAGACACAAGAAACACAAATTGAACGGCTGACCCAACAAATAACGAAAGCATTCCATGACTGTCAGCGGAAGATCCAGCGTGTGGAGCAAATGGTTCGCGAGTCCAAAGAGTCTGGAACTCTTACGAAAGCCGAAGAGACGATGGCAAGGAATATTCAGATATCTCTAGCAACAAGAGTTCAGGAAGCGAGCGCTAGTTTCAGAAAGAAGCAAAGCGCATATCTTAAGAGTAGGCCAGGCAGAACTCTGAGTAAAGACTCCATAGTCGGCTAACTATTTACATTTCAGAACTTCGAGACATGGGAGGACTAGGCACCCTCACTCCAGGAGACTCATCCTCCATGCCGCAGGCGGGCTCGGATATAGACTCGTCGCTACAAGAATCAGACGCCGACCGGTCTTTTTCGCAATCTACACTCCAAGCCGCATCGCAACAGAAACTCCTGCATTCCAACGACGCTGCGATAGCTCAGCGAGAGCGCGAGATCGAGGAGATTGCGCAAGGTATTATTGAACTATCTGATATATTTCGCGACCTTCAAACGATGGTTATAGACCAGGGCACAATGCTTGACCGTATCGACTACAACGTGGAGCGAATGAATGAGAACGTCAAAGGCGCTGACCGGGAACTGACGGTGGCCTCAGGCTACCAGAGAAGGACTACCAAGAGGAAAATAATCCTTCTCCTCATTCTAATCATTGCGGGATTATTTATTCTCCTTCTCGTAAAGCCAAAGAGACATGATTGATATTGGCCGGCATTATGTCGAAAGTTCCAGTTGGACTTGGTAACGGGTCGACTAGGCACTGATTTAACAATCAATGTATTAATAGATGTGTATACATAGGCGTGTGACTAAATTTTGTATCTATGAGAGCGACCAGAGTGTGGTAGTTTAGTCTCTTGGAAAAGGCTATTATATATATTACAGGTACACAAAGTACGTTCATGTATGCCATACAATATGTACTACAGTTTCGTCAAAGTTGACCCCGCTGGTCGGCTTCTCAAGCTTCCCTTTGGCCCTTGTCAAATGACTGACCGAATAGCTTGGAGTATCTGCTCCACAGTCTGGGCTTCTGATGCTCAATCTGTCGTGTTATTTCGGAAGGACTGGGAAGAATTTCAGATCCCCACGCCTCATCAAACAAGGCTTTCATGTGCTCTACTGACAGCTCATGCCTGTCTCGGGATCTATCCTTTTGACGACCTGGAACTTGTCCTAAAGCAATCCTCGCCACAATCGTTGTTCGGAGCACTTGCGAATCGATTAGGACGCCTTGATCTCGTAACAGCGCTAATAATCGTACACCACTAGCTACGTCGAATGCTGAGACTCCAGTTGAAGGTGAACCGACGAGTGCCATCGAATTTGGCTTCGACTTCAACGTTTGATCAAAGCCCCATCTAACGATGGATCGCTGGAGGTGTGTACTGAATAATTTCTGTATTGGATGTTTCCGATGGCTGAAAGGCAAGTCTGCGGGGATATACTCCTTCAGATCTCCCGTGGTCGATGTAGGGCCAAGTCCGCCCTCGATTCTAGGATCGCCCCGAGTGGTTCCAACATTCAAAATAGGAGTAGGAGCAAGTTTTCGATTAATATTCGACGAATCTTCGCTTCCTGGCTGTCGCCCACTTCGTAGCTCAAAGCTGGTCAAGACACCACTCAGTGGCTGATCATCTTTTGATGAACGGCGACTAATATTGCTCTTATCCCGCACTGGAGATATGAATTGGCATGACGCCATACCGACTTCTTTGCCTGTTTTGCTTTCGGTTTGTGGCATATCATCGGCATGAATTGGTATCAAGCCGCCTAATGGCGGTGTATAAAGCTGAACTACTTCCAGAAACAATTGTTCCAGTTCAGCGAAACGACCCAAACGACCAAGATTATAAAACAACAAGCTCCAGAACTGGATAGGTATAGCAACGTCATGTAAAGCAACACGACGGGTAATGTCGAGGGCTCTATTCAGAAGAGCCTCAAAATCCTTGGTTGAATCCTCTCTTGTTTGGCGTTTCCGTCCCTTGGGGTGTTTTCCCAGACCTCGAAAGGTTCTTTCCAGAAGCTGTAAGGCACTTTCTTGGCCCATGTTAACCTTTAATGCTTCCATACGCTCGAGAACATGTCTTGCTCTATCAAGTTTACGCTTTGACAGTTCGCAGTCAAGAAGTGTGCGAAGTCTGCGAGTTGCAGGATCATATTCGATTGCCCACTCAATGCCCTGAAGTAACCTTTCCATTTGCCAATTCTGTTCCCGCACAGAAGAAGCCATTAGCATTTGGCGTGTTTCAACGTCATCAAATTCATCTGGGTGGACATCACAAGCCAAAAGACTCGCTAAGAGTTCATCTTCCCCGTGTTTAGCAAAGAAAACCAGTGCCTTGCAATAGACCTGATTTGAGATGGTAATATCAAGTTTTTCGATTTGCCCAATACGTGATGCCATTGCTTGTGAGTCGGATTCTCGCAGTGCAAGGGATTGCAGTGATCTTGGCCCTATGGCGCGGAGACCTAGTCTCTGCGCCAGATTAATGGCAAACTCAACTGAAGTCCATGTGCTAGCAAACCATCGAGCCACGATGGCATCGCCGTATTGTCCCCTGCTTAACTCTGAATCGTTATTTGCTGGAAGCGAAGGGTTTGTGTCGAAAGTACTGGACGCAAGTCCTCCAACCTCTCGTTCTTCCGTGGTCAAATTGATTGTCTGATAAAATTGGGCAAGAAATCGAAGAAACGGTTTGGATTTGCTTGTCCTTGGTAAGTCTTGAAATGCGAGTAGCTTTTTCCTCCATACTCGTGCAAGTTTTGAAAGGCCGGCTGCATAGAGCACAGGAATTATATGATCATATAATTGTTTCTCTGTGCTAGAAACGTACAGTGCTGTTAAATTGCTTTGCATCATCGGTGATTGGTCAACAACAAAATTTGAGAATAAGGCACCAAAGACCTCTGTCGATGGCGGAAACGTGGGCGCTAGTTGAAGGTGCCACCGAATACTTCTATCATATTGCTCGTGGTCGAGCATATGATAAACAATGTTCATGTATAAATCCGGCCATCGAAATTTGGTATCATTAAGGAGTTTGTGTGCGCTATTGACGAGGACCGTGAGTCGCGAGTCGAGATGCAGGGCAGCGGTAAGTATTTCCTCTCGAAGGCGCTGTGTGTCATGGTTGGCCAGCACCCCTAGAAGCCCATTGTTTTGAATATACCCAAAAAGCTCCCATACCCCATCGCAACCATGATTTCGACGAACCGACAAGGCACAAATTTCCCATGACCGTGAATCGTTTGCCTGAAAAGCCATCTCAAAATCTTGGAGAACGGTTCGTCCTAATGACCCCCCTTGGCTCGATTGTCCCTCCGTAGCCAGAATTGCCGCATGGCATATAGGAGCCTGCCCTAGCCTGCCCTCTAACTTCCATCTTGACGAGGCCAACAGCCGACTGAACTGGCAAGCGAGTGAATAGCGCGGCGAGCTCGATATCGATATGAGAGCTCCTCTTCGAGTGATGGGAGCTCTATTCGATGCAGAAATCGTTTTCGATGTATCTAAAGATCGTACTAGGGCAGTGAGGTCTTTCGTGAAGGATCGATTGGAGCAGTGCTGAAAATGGGTTATCGCCGCTGGGGGCCATGGCACACCAACTGGCGAATGACGAAGAGCCAGCCTCGACCTTCGCATTCCCAATGCGCCTCATACAGTTGCAGCTATGACCCCAGGCAACTCATTGGACTTGGTCACAGTAGCTTTATAAAAGTCTGGTAGGCTTCGTTGATGAACAGTGAATGTTGCAATATTGCTGCTGCCACCAACTTTGTCGGATGGTACCAACTACAGCTCTCCTTGCAGTTTAGCGCCAAGCAAGTAGCTTCCCAAATGCGGCACGTGTCTCAGCACGAGCCCGGGAAAAGCCAAGTGCTGAGTCATCAACACCTGACCCCAATTCAATGGCCTCATTTCTACATGCGAGCCTTTCCACATCCTCGGTCACAGCACAACCACTACTCTTCAACGATTGCCTCTCTCCCAAACCTCGCGCGAACTTGAATACATTTCTTCAAGATGGGGTAAGCCGTATTTTCACAGGGATACTTATCTGTCACGACCCTTTAGGATTCACCGATGTCAATTGCGACTTCGTTTTGGAGTTTTGACGACAGCCGTTCGGAAATCATTAGCTAACCAAGACGCAGTCTGGTCGACGCCAAGAACAGGGTGCCTCAGCATCAGCGATTCTACCAGCAGGCATATAAGGCTCATACCCGTCTTTGGCTGATTGTATGTTTCGATTGAGGCTCGCCCGGTTCAACCGCGTCATCATTTCGCTGACTACATACAGGGCACTCGCAGCCGTTGGTATATGACCCCCTACCTTATTGTCCTTTGGGGAGGATTCGGAGGTTCGTGCAAGCATCATACAGCAGCTTTGAATGCGCAGCTAATTCGTTCCAGCCACTCTGTACGCTGCTGGACGCAAGGTTACGGGCCACAACACCTGGTTTGGCAAAGATTAAACGTACGGCGCGCAACTGGACGTTCAATTTTGTGCTGGCCCAGAGATCATGTACCACCTTTTCTATTAGTACGCCGTTCGATAGACGAACGCAGATAAAATATTATGCGCACTTTACTTGCTTAACTTGAGAGCTTCCAATATAGTAGGGAGACATGTTAACACCCAGTTACTATCAATTGCACAGCAGGTGTTATTTTGAGTACTTGAGTCCGCCCACTTCATAGATCCTCTAAAATACACGGAGAGGGCTGCATCTGACAGTAAAATTAATGATAATACACCTCGTAGCCCACTGGTGCATTTAGGAGCAAAAGGATTTCACGCATGCTATCATATCGCGCTTTCTTGTTCAATATCCCGTAGCTGCTGGGGCCTTCTCGTCTTTTCGTAGGCTTGTCAACATTTCGCGGAAGCGCTCCTTGCCGGATCCAGTTGCACCCCCTTTGGTGCTTTTACCACTTATATCGACGAGCTTCGCAATGCGATCCCAACTTGTGCCGCCCGAAACTGTATCTTCGCGATTGGCGAGAAATTGCTCGGCATCCTTCCTTGTCTGTGCAATTCCTTTTTCCTTCTTACTGTTGTAATTCTCGTAGAAATCGTCAATATTCTGCTGTGCTTCTTTGATAGTCTCCTCACGCTGGGCAGTAAACTGTTCAGCTCGTTTGGCAATTTGTGCGTCACGCTGCTCTCTCCACTGCTTGATGACCTCGGGCTCCTCCTCATCGCCTACATGAGACTGGTAACCTGAATTGTAACTAATGGACGGTCCAGTGATAGAGGTACTTCCAGGTAGACCAGCAGTGCCCTGCTTAGCACATTAGCGCGGCACCAATTAAATCGAGCTGTTTTATTCATACTGCAGAGGGACCAGCAAGGTCGGGAAACTGGGATTCGAAGGTTGACTCGCCGACTTTATCCTGCCCCAGGAGGTCACCGCTTGGTTCTGCAAAAGCTACGGCATCCTCACTAGTTGTGAACTGCTCAGCGTCGTCTCCCAATAAAGCCCTTTCCCTGGCAAGAAAGTCGTCGGCCGATGGCTCAGCGGAAGGATTTTTTATTTCGGTTTGTGCTTTGTAACAGACAAGTCAGTGAAATTGTAGATGAGGGTGTTCGAAGTTGAGCCAATGGATCACAAACCTCCGGAATCGAAGTCGTCTAGGGACGGAAATCGATCTGCCATTGTGTAGTTATTAGTAATGCCTATTTGATTGACACAAGCTCTTATTGTGTTGTTTTGTGAGAATAATTCTGCTTCGCGATCGCAGTATTGGAGAGACGGATGGGCTCTCCACAGCTCGGTGTGATCACCCAAGTGCCCATTTACCTGGCATGAAGCGTCAAAGGGGCAGCATTCTGCCGGGCGGTGGGCCAAGGCAACCCACTGCTCCGGATATTGCATATCATGGGGCTTTGCATTTGAGCACCATTGACCCCACGGCTGGTTTGCCCCTTGCATGTTTATGATTCTCGGTTGATGCAAAAGCTCAAACCTCTGGCCCACACCAGCTCTGAACATCAGAACTTAGGGGATCGTGCAAAGCTGGGCCATTAGCAAAAATACTATTTCATCGTCTAGGGCGACCAGTTGGGCTACACATTGAACATCTGCTTTCAGAACGCCATAGAACAAGAACACCTCCAAAAAATCATCGCCTCGAAGTCCATCCAGGGAAAACTTTCAAGCACAAGAGTACTTCACCGTAGTAACATTTACCTCGATCGCATTATAAAGCATTCCACAACGTTACCTGGGTCACTCTCCGTCGAACTACGCAGATCATACTTCGATTCCTTAGCAATTAGCTCGCTCGCGTTGTCGGCGATCGCAGCTCGAAAGCATGGCGTACAACGACGACTCGGTTCTGGCGCGGCTATCATCACTCAATGAGAGTCACGACAGCATCGCTACCGCTGCCCAATGGATCATGTTCCACAGGTAAGTGATCTTTGACGTATAGGCTTTTTGCGCAACATCGTACTGATGTTCGCTTCGATTCCTAGACGTCATGCGGATCGCACCGTACAACTTTGGATGCAACGCCTGAAAGATTCTTCCAGCACAAAGCGATTAAGTTTGGTGTATCTCGCGAACGGTAAGCAGCTCCTGATGATTATTCTGTATCGTATACATGCGTATATGATTGCGTAATCAAATGCGAACGCAGTGGCCCACTGACATAGTTCTGCCACAGAGGTTGTTCAACAATCAAGAATACGTCACAAGGAAGATTTCGTTATAGCATTCTCGCCCATCGTCGCCGAAGCCTCTTCTATAGCATACAAGGGTGCGCCTGCAGAAATTCAGGCGAAACTTCGGCGCGTGATCGATGTCTGGAAAGACAGATCTATCTTCGAAGCACCGATTCAGAGAGCTATCGAGTCTCGTCTTGACGGTACGTACACATACTCACTCACCATTGTTTCTTGCCTTCACTAACACTCAGAAAGAACTTGACAAAGCTCGCGGGGCTCCGAAATCTGGTTTCTCCGGTTCGCCGTTCGGAAGTTCTTCTGTACCCTCCGAATTCAGCCCTTTGATCGCGGCTCATCAGAAGACGGTTAAACTTAGCGGGCCGTTGCAGACTACGATCTCTTCTGCAAACCAGGAATATGATAAACAAATGGACCCAAATGTCGCAGTACCGTCCGCTCCCGTGTATGCAGCCCGTCTAAATGGTCTGCTCAAAACACTAGCAAACGCAGAGAGCGCCGTTGCAGAGTGTGTCAAAGCCCGCGAACATTTGGTATCGGGTTTGGAAAAGCTGTTAGATGAAAGTCGATCTGCTCTAGAAGCCGACAAAAGTGCAGCTGGCGAGTTACTCAAGAGGAAAGCGGAGATTGAAGACAAAAAGCAGCAGGTGGAGGTCGCGATTATGCGAGCTTTAGGGCCTACCGAGAGCAATGGTCAGCCGGGAGAGGGCGACACTGGAAGCCCTCACAACGAACTAGACAGGCCAGAGATGGAAGCTCTCACTCCACCTCAGATGGAAGATGAGGACGCGGATGAACCGGTCGAGGCATCTGAGACGGCCAATATTTCGTCATCTACAGAACAAGACTCAGCACATTCATTTCAGTCAATACCTGTTTCAACAAATGGTTCAAACAAGAGACGGCGGGTAGATGATTCCGAAGACTTTCCTGATCTCGGAGGCGATGATGGTATCGAACCTGAGGTAGCGGAAATGTTGAAGGATAGCGCCGAGACGTGAGCGTGGATCTTGGTCATGGCCTGAAGATTAGACAGTACTCAAGGTTACCTGGGATTTGTACAGTCAAGTTTGAACTATACTACTGCTTTGGACATTGCCGATATCTCGCACTAAATCAGAAAATCTCTGCATACTTGATCAATCAAAGAAGAATTTCGTTTGTGCCACTCTGGACCAGTCGAAGGCCCCCCAAGTAATATAATACGACGAAGACTTGTCTTGGCCTTGACAATCAAGATGGACAAGATGATGCCAATTTCAGCATGGAGCATTTGGTCGTGCCACAATCTGCTCATATAATAGCTATAAAATAAATCAGTTGATAGGCTCTTGCAACAATGATCAAATACCTACTAGGTAGGTATTGTATTCATCGCCAGGAACTTGACTTGACTCTCAGCGGCTTAATGCCGTTGGTCCGACCCGAGGCCGACCTCTTTACAATGAGCCACATGCTACTATGTGCAAGTGCGGCTGGGTTGCTAACTAGCATGTTTTGGGCCAGGAGGATCTCCATGACCCCCACTTTAATTTTCGGCGTTCAAGCTCATCCTCCAACCCCGGCCATCCCCAAATCCCGCGAAAATGACGGCATCCTGAGGTGCCAGTTGCCCTTCTCGTCGTCTCTGTCAGAGTTATCACCACTCAATACAGCGAACGGCGGCTGGTACCTATAATGCTCCAGTACCAAGTTACTTGAGCTGCGCTTTTCGTCAACATGGTGTCGGGCGTGGTGCGGCGCGCACTGCCGCCACGACGCAACCTTGGAGAAATCTTCAACGCCTCTGTTGGCCATTCTAGATTCAGTTCACACTCTGCTCAAGTCAGATTCATTCATTCAACGCCTTTGCATAGACATGTACTTCCACGATTCTCACCGGCGGTATTTGGCCCACGAACCGAACAAACGCACGCAGCCTCAAGCCCCAAGCCGCATGCTCAGCAGACGGCATTCCGCCACTTCCAGGCCCTATCTTCTCATATGCGGCCTTTTTCCTCCACGCGACTCACCCTTGAGCAAAATCAGCGCAAGAAAAATAGTGACTCTGGCGTTTCCAACATTCGCGAAATTCAAGAGGAACCCCGCGACGAGGACGAGGACGGTTTCAAAAAAAGTGACAAGGCGGCCAAGGCTGCTGAGGTCAATTTATCAGCGAGACTGTCCAAAGAAGGGAAGTCTCAAAGCAAAGCTGGGTTTGGGGAGATATGGAGGCTCATAAAAGTTGCCCGACCGGAGATCCGATGGCTTGGGCTAGCCTTCTGTTTCCTCGTGATATCTTCTAGTGTCACAATGTCCATTCCCTTCTCTGTGGGCCGCATCTTGGATCTTGCCACAAAGGGTGATGTTGATGATATACGCCTGTTTGGCCTTACTCTGAATCAGTTCTTTATCGGCCTTGGTGCCATCCTTACCTTAGGCGCGATGGCGAATTTTGGCAGGGTTATTCTGCTCCGAATCGTTGGTGAGCGGGTCGTTGCCAGATTGCGATCGCAGCTGTACAGGCGGACATACGTGCAGGATGCGGAATTCTTTGATGCGAACCGAGTCGGAGATCTCATATCACGACTCAGCTCGGACACTGTCATTGTCGGCAAGTCGGTAACGCAAAATCTGAGCGACGGCCTCCGAGCATTGTTTAGCGGTGGCGCTGGCTTCGCCATCATGGTCTGGACAAGCCCCAAGCTGACTGGGTTACTTCTTCTAATGTTTCCACCCATAGCAGTGGGCGCCGTCATTTACGGTCGTGCAATTCGGAATATTAGCAGGACCATCCAAAAGAACTTGGGTACTCTCACCAAAATCGCTGAAGAGCGTCTTGGAAATGTTAAAACAAGCCAAGCCTTTGTCGGCGAAGTTCAAGAGGTTGGCCGTTACAACAAACAAATCAGAAGAATATTCGCCCTTGGGAAAAGAGAGTCTCTCATCGCGGCCACTTTTTTCGCTTCAACCGGTTGGGCTGGCAACATGACCATCCTGGCCATGCTGATTGTTGGAGGCAGTTTTGTTCGTTCGGGCGCCATGTCTCTAGGCGACCTTACCTCGTTCATGATGTACACTGCTTTCGCTGGCTCAAGTCTATTTGGACTTTCAGGATTCTATTCAGAACTCATGAAGGGAGTTGGAGCGGCGAGCAGGCTTTTCGAGCTCCAGGATCGTCGTCCCGGTATTCATCAAACGGTTGGTGTTCGAGTCAAGTCTGCACAAGGCCCCATCAAGTTCAGTGATGTTAGCTTCGCCTACCCAACGCGACCAGCAGTCAAGATCTTCAACGGATTGAACTTTGAGATTCCATCAGGGAGCAACGTCTGTGTGGTAGGGCCTTCAGGCGGTGGTAAATCTACGGTTGCTTCGCTACTGCTCAGATTTTATAATCCAACGTCTGGGTCAATCACCATCAACGGAGTCGACGTATCAACCATGAATGTCAAATCTTTAAGACGGCGGATTGGGATGGTGTCACAGGAACCGGTACTGTTTTCTGGCACGATTGCTGAGAATATTGCATATGGCAAGCCGAATGCAAGCCGAATGGAGATTATTGCAGCCGCACGAAGAGCCAATTGCAACTTTATCAGCGACCTTCCCGATGGCTTGGAAACCCAAGTGGGGGCTAGAGGATCACAATTGTCTGGTGGACAAAAGCAGCGTATTGCAATTGCTCGAGCATTGCTCAAGGACCCGGATATCCTTATTCTTGATGAAGCTACTTCGGCTTTAGACGCAGAGTCAGAGACGCTCGTTAATGAAGCTCTAGCCGGACTGTTGCGTGGTCACAACACAACTATATCCATTGCACATCGACTGTCGACAATTAAGAGATCGGATCAAATCATTGTTCTCAATAACGAAGGCAAGGTGGCAGAGATTGGAAGCTACACTCAACTTGCCGCAGATAAGCATAGCGCATTTAGCAAATTGATGGAATGGCAGATGAGCGGCGGCGAGATTCCAGAGAAGCGATCATCTAATTCTGGCCCAGGGATCACTGAGGCAGAGGAAATAGAGGAAGACCTAGCACGCGAAGAAGACTTTCATGAAGATCCGGAAAAGGAGCACAAAGACCAAGAACGAGAAGAGAAAGAGGAGCGCCAACGTCAGTAAGCAATGACTCGGTTCGGGATGTCGCAACCGAAGCCTGGATACGCAAACTACGCATCCCGATGTATGGTTTGCTTGGCGATATTTGCAGTAAGCTGGGTGGATTGCCGTGTACATTTGTGCGGTGTTGAGTTGGCCCATTTCGGGCACATTGTATTTTATTTCGAGTATGGTTGGTCGGTCGGGGTTGGAAGGCGCATACAGACAGACGTGGCGATAAACTCCACTCGCACTTCGGAGGGGTTGCAAACCGGTGAACAAAGAAGAGGGATGAAGAATCAGTACTTTTTTTTTGTATATAGCGATATAAGGGGACAACTACTTAGGTACAGAAGAGCTATTCATAATGTGTAGCAAAATACAAAAAATCAACACGGATAATTTCGTCACTATCCTTATTTAAGCACAGTGTTACTCAGCAGTTAATGTCATTGGCCTGCGACGTCTGTTACAGCTGGTATTAATTTGCCCATGTTCACTGTGACAAAGGAAAAACAATTCAGCGGACTCAAGGGCCTGTTTGTGAGAGGAATTCGATCAATTGATACGCTCAACCCCCGACATGATGTTAATGTCGACTTGTCACAGGCACGCCAACTCCGCTGTCCACTAGCGTCTCTGCGCGCTACTCCCCACGTGCATGCGCTACTGGCCGAGTTCATTGCTCCAGCGCCTTCGATGTTGCCCCAGCCATCAATCTGCACTCGGGGCTAACCGGCATTCCCCCCTTAAACTGTCAGTGAACGTCGCTTGTCAAATCGTCAATACCACCATTTATGGTGTCTGTACCTCTAATTTTGGTATTCCTTCTTGTAAGAAACTTCATCATCGCCCTGTATTCCAGCGTCTCCTGAGGGGTCGACAAGTCTTGAGCGCATCTCTCGAGTAGCTAGCCCTGTCCCGGACCCATACAGTTATCAATTGATAGCCATTCAACACGAAGAACTCTAGATGGCAAGTCAAAATATGTTCACGGTTTCTGAGGGCCAATTCAAGCATGGTGATTCCAGCTTCTACTCTAAAACTTGGACGGTACGCAGGATTCACTTGTGCCGCTGATTCTTCCCTCAGGATGCTGACCAAGCTCATCAATTCTCAGCCGGCCGGTCCCACAAAGGCCAAGTTGATCTTCGTCCATGGCTTCAGCGAGCATATTAACCGCTACAACGAATTTTTCCCAAAGCTTGCCGAGAAGGGCATTCAGGTATTTGGCTGGGACCAGCGCGGTTGGGGGCGCAGTGTCGCCAAGCCTGCTCAGAAGGGACTTACTGGACCGACCTCGCAGGTCATCGCCGATGTTGCTGCCTTTGTGAGGGACAAGCTTCCTGCCAAGGATAATGCGGACGCATCGCCAGTTTTCGTCATGGGTCATTCTATGGGTGGCGGTGAGGTGCTAACCCTTGCCGCGGATTCACAATATGCTGAACTGGTTGGCCAAGTCCGAGGATGGATTCTCGAATGTCCTTTTGTCGGATTCCCGGTAGGGGAGGAGCCCAGTAGCATTAAGATATTCGTCGGCCGCCTCATAGGTCGTCTTCTACCCAAGCAGCAGCTGAAACACGTCGTGCCGCCAGAGTACCTTAGTAGGGACGAAGCCGTTGTTCAGGCAGTGCGAGATGACCCTCTTTGCCATGATACTGGGACTCTCGAAGGTCTAGCTTCGCTCCTTGATCGGACAGCTCTGCTATCATCTGGTCGAGTTCAGCTTGGCAAGCACGTCAAGGGCATGCTCTTAACTCATGGGACAGAAGATCGGGCATGCAGCTACGATGCTGCGCTTAGATTCATGGAACAGCAACACAGTGTCGAAGACAAGACGACAAAGTCATATCATGGAGCCTATCATCAGCTTCATACAGACCACTGCAAAGATGAGTTTACAAATGATGTTATCGAATGGATCTTAGAGCGATGTCCCCCATCCGCGGGGATGGCTGAACCTCGCGAAGCAAAGCTCTAGTGGGGCAGCGGCAACGCGAGAGCAAACCTGTCTGGTGTAATAACAGATGCTATGAAGTGGAAATACATACTCGCTGAACAAGGCTTGCCAATCATCGCTTGTCTGCAATTCGTTAGCCAAAGTTGATTAGTTACCAGAGAGAATCCGCAACAAGACTTTTGAATTGTATCAAACTATTTTGTATCTGAGTACTCGCTATAATATTTCGGTGTTTACTTCATCGACCCGTCCCTTACCTGACTTGGCACCGATAGGCTATACAATTAGGTGAGATTCACATATGTACATACATACCTGGGTATGTATATTGCAGTGTTGGGGAAACTCCACCTCAATCACACCCAACAGTACCAAGACAGGTAAACACAGGAGATGGTTAAGCTTTTTCGGGGGCAATCCACGACGCTGGGTGTTGTCATGTTCAGATGAGAGGCCTCCCCTGTCACACCTCGACAAACTGCTGCCAACTAGACCAGTTGACTCTTTAGGGAGGGGGATTGTGGGCGGTGTGGGACATGAGAGACCGAAGATCTCAACTAGCTTGACAGCACTAGTTAGTTACTGCCTGGTCAACGACAAGAGTTGATCAATCAAAGATGTGAAATAAGTGGACTTCAACGGCGGGCACATCTAGTTAGGTATGTACTTGGGCAGGGATGTGATTTCTAAACCCTCAAAAAAGGTTGGCTGTTGGCTTTTGCCTATTACCAACCTTCTCCGGCATCCTGTCGTGATGCAGGTGAATAACAGCGTCGCATGAAAAATAGATGACTCTAGCATTTATTAGCGCAGCCATGCGAGCACCCAGACCAATTGGCTTGCTGGAAAAACCAGCACCCAGACGGTTGATGGTTTATTACGCCCATGGGTCCTGAGTCCTGACAACGAGATTCGTCCAGGGTTCATGTGTTTTATAGAGGAGGCGTGTCTGAGTCGGCTCGCATTGAGATCTTCGCTGTCATTCGTCATCTGCCCAGGTAGGTGGTGATTGCCACTTGAGCATCCTTGATAGTCTACCAGATCTATTGCTGGCACTGAACTAGTCAATCTGTGTGCCACAATACAAAAATTAGTGCTCCCCTTCTTAATTTATTGATTAAGGCTGGAGAAGAGAAATTCGTGCATTTGCCACGGACGCTCAGACAAAAAGTCGACTGGTTGCTTTCCAAGGTTTCCATGCCTACTTAATATCTACCCACCCAACACCACACGCTCCTTCCGAGACACATCAGCAGCCTTTTTCGCACCTCCATATATGTAACCTATCTTTCGCCACTTCCAGAGGACGCACTCACTCCCCTCTTTCCCAGTTCCCTACTCTTCGGTGCCATATATCATATTTCCACCTGATGACCAGGGGCTAAGGACGACCCTCGAGGCTCTCAATATGACGCCAGACGGCAGCAATACCATCACTCACCATCCATCCATCTTTCACCTCCAACAGCTTTCGTCCCCCAGCAGCGGGAGCGGCTCTCGCTCGCCCGCGCGCCAAAACCAGCATCATTACCACCACCATCATGAACAACATCGTGCCGCTAGTACATCCATAGAGCCCGTTGCCCCTCCTGGACAAGAGCAAGATGCCGTTGAGAGGCACCCATCTCACGCCACGGACGTGGAGAGTCAGATGACCGCCGGTCCAAATTCAAGGCTGCCACGTCTTAGCATCGAGAGCGATCCATATGGGCTTTCATCGTCCTACAAGACAGAATCAGATTTGGATCAAATCAAGGCTAATTCTTCTCGCAAGAGAGGTGGGTCGCGAATCTGCAGTCCGTCCGCCAAGAGATCCTCCATCAATAGTGCACAGCCTGGCCCAAAACGTAATGCTCGAAAAGTCTGTAGCTTTTACGAGAATCAGAACGCAGCCATCGAACGTATGCTCAAGTCCGTGGAGGAACACCGCGCCGAAGCCCGTCAAGAGCAAGGCGACGACCAGGTCAAGTTCCGCATCGCAATATATGGATCTCTTGCCGCAAACGTCATTCTCGCCGGGCTGCAGCTATACGCAGCCATCTCCTCTGGTTCTTTGTCTTTGTTCACAACCATGGCGGATGCCATATTCGATCCGCTCAGCACGCTCACTCTTATTTTCTCCAACCGCGCAATCAAACGAGTTGACCCTCGCCGTTTCCCAGCCGGCAAGGCCAGACTTGAAACGGTTGGCAACATCATTTTCTGTTTCCTCATGACGTCGGTGTCTCTCATTATCATTGCGTTTGCCGCTCAAGAGCTCAGTCGATCGAGAACGAGCAAGGAATTCCATTTGCCATCTGTCATTTCTGTCTGTGCTGCCTTCCTTACCAAGTTTTCTCTCTTTTTGTACTGCTGGTCTCTTAAAAACAAGTATAGTCAGGTCAACATCTTGTGGCAAGACCATCGTAATGATCTCTTGGTCAACGGATTTGGTATTCTGACATCAGTCGGTGGTGCCAAACTTCAATGGTGGATTGACCCAATGGGCGCCATCTTGCTATCACTTTTGATCTCGGGGATCTGGCTCCGCACTGCATTTAATGAATTTATGTTGTTGGTAGGCGTCGTCGCATCAGTTGACATGCAACAACTCATCACCTACGTGTGCCTCACGCATTCGCCTGCTGTGCAAGGCATCGACACCGTACGTGTCTACCACTCTGGTCCACGACTGATTGCCGAGGTAGACATTGTCATGAACCCTGCCGGTACACTGCTGGAAACTCATGACACCGCTGAGGAGCTTCAGTTCAAGTTGGAGAGTCTTCCGGACGTTGAGCGGGCGTATGTTCATATCGACTACGAGACAACACATAAACCTGAACATGCATATAAGAAAGATATTTAAGCGGTGCTGGGTCTCGTCAGACGACGTACAGGGCAAGAGCAGAAACCGAGGGAGACACGCCACGTGTCGAGGTCGATCCCCCCAGGGTCGAGGTTTTGATCCGTACTGGGAATTCATGGTGTTATTGGTTTATTATAAACCTCTTGTCGTTGATGAAACCACAAACGTTTGAACATTTGTATGTACTGACCGATGTGTCTAATCCTTGGTCAAACCTTGGTCAGAGGTATTTCCCTACTTTTTCCGTAATCGCCAATGCTGCCGGTGAATACTAAAGGCACAGAAGAATCACGACGAAAGCCAAGATCATTCAAAATAGTTCGCTTGCCTAGCAAAAGGGTGTTGTGTTGTTTACTTTTGGTTACACGACTTATTAAGCAGAACCACTAAAGGATGCGGTTACACGGCGGGTCACGAAACTTGGCACGTCGGCCCACGGAACATGCCGCACCTAAGCTGGCAGGTAATAGAGTAGTATCAAATGCGGGGTGTGCGAAACGCGTCTTTTTTATTTGGCCAGGTGCATCCTGTATTGGTGAAGAGAAGCACGACTGCTAACCTAGGTAGTTAAAGAAGAATCAGGCATAGCATGTCCAAGCACCTCACGCCATAGTTTCTTGACATGTTGAGCCATAGGCAGGGCTGCGACGCAAGGGCTGTTTCATGACACCTGCCATTGGCTCAACGTCGACTTGAGCAAAGCTCTCAAATCCCCCGCATAGAGCTCTTGCGATTGCATGTGGGGGCGACCAAGCTTCATTGTGCAGCTCCCAGTGCTCACGTTATCTAGTACCTACCTAAGGTAGGGAGGTCATAAGCTTTGTGCAGATTTGTGCGGCCCTCATTGTCCAATGCCACGCGGCACAAAGCTTCAAGTTGCATCAATTGAGCACATGCAAGCTTGGGGTACTCCATAGAATGCATGCATGTGTGCTTGTTTGGGGCCAAGGGCTGTGGACCTTTGGTACTTAGTAGGTACATGTACTGACGCTAAACAAGAAACGGCGCCGTCAACGTCATGGCTAGCTGGGTGTCGCCTGGGGGACCCGAGTGCCATCTCTGCTGTTTCTCTCCAGATGCCCAACCATCAATATTGACTGTTTGAATGACCCCTTCCTCCCCTCCCCTCGCCCCAGAGGAGTTGAATGGCCGGCCAGTGGTCAATCTGGTGGACGTCAAGTCAACCTCGATAGACTCGCCACACTGAGCAGTGAGCAGCATCGCGCCCCGCTCGGCCAGGTTGCGTCTGAAGCTTCCACTGATTTCTCGTCGCGCAGTCTTTCAGAGGGGGGGAGAAGGAAGGAACAGAAAAGAGACAGAAGAGAGGAAGGGAGATCTGACCTAGGTGGTCGCAAACCAGCATCAGCATCGCCTTGCCGGTCACAATGTCCGCGGCAGACCCGGCCACAGGAGAACAGCTTTATGCAACGGTGCGTTGTTTCGCTCTTGTCTTGGCTTTTGCGTTTCTGGCCGCTGCTTTCTCTATCCTTCCAGAAGACAATATACGGCATTGCCACCTGGAAACTTTGGCGAATTGTTTTACTGACCACCCCTCAGCTTCTCTTGAGCGATTCCTATCTGCCCGGCGCTCTGGTCCTCGCCCACTCGTTGCGCGATGCCGGCACTTCCAAGCGGCTCGCGGTTCTAGTAACATTGGATTCTGTCTCAGCAGAGGCCATCACCCAGCTTAAGGTGCGTTTGTCTCACGTCTCAAACGAAACAGACGCCACCTTCCGTTTCCTAAAACAGCTGTTAATGAAACTGCACTTTCACAGACCGTCTACGATTATGTCCTTCCTGTCTCAAGAATTCGCAATGAGCAAACTGCCAATCTGCGCCTCATGAACAGGTCCGACTTGCACTCGGCTTTTACCAAGATCAACCTGTGGAAGCAAACTCAGTTCTCCAGAATAGTCTACATCGACGCCGACATAGTGGCCTATCGAGCTCCAGACGAGCTCTTTGAGCTGCCTCATGCCTTCTCCGCTGCTCCGGACATTGGATGGCCGGATCTTGTCAACACCGGTGTCATGGTTCTCGTTCCGAATATGGGTGACTACTACGCCATGCTCGCCATGGCCGACAGGGGAATTTCATTTGATGGTGCAGACCAAGGTCTCATAAACATGCATTTTAAGCACAGTCTGAATCGCTTATCGTTTACTTACAATGTCACGCCATCCGCTCACTACCAGTACGTGCCTGCATATCGTCATTTCCAATCTAGCATTAGCATGGTCCATTTCATCGGCGCCAATAAGCCTTGGTTTTCTGGCCGCAACGCTTCCCATGGTGACACTCCGTTCGACGAGATGGTCGGTCGCTGGTGGGCTGTCTATGATCGCCATTATAGAGCACAGGTACGCCTTTCAACCCCGAGAGTCAGTCGTAGAACAACTCGCCATCTTCCTATCCCAAGTCATCGATGGAAGTTCTTGTTAATGATTTTGTATAGGAGTCTGCTGTCCCACCCAGTTACAGGCAAACTTCAGGTCAACGCCCAAGCCAAGGAATTGTAGACTCAACTCTCGCGTCGGCATATCCCTCTACAAAGCTGCCTCCAGGAAGTGATGAGGCCAAGAACACTAGCCAGGCATACATTGAACAGAGAGCAGGTGAATACTCGCCACGGCAAACATCACATGACAGTTCCAATATCGATGCGTCATATTCACCCCAGCCGATCCGTCCTGCGCGTCATGAAGGTGGTACAGCTACTGAAATTTCCACAGATAGTCACGGCCTGGTCCATGTCGAGACTCCACGAGATTCTGCTGCCCAGAATCAGAGACAGCTTCCACCACTGGCCATGGCTAGTTGGGACGCCCAAAGGTGAGACACGACTACTTTGCATAGTCTGTTTTAACTGCATTGCTGACCCTTCTCCAAATTCAGGCATCCCCCGCCACCTGGCTCAAAGCCGGAGGCGATAGATTTCCCATCGACCCATTACGAGATGTCACGAGATCCTGCACCCTTTATTCCACCTGTACGCTATCCCAGCCCACCCAAAAATATGTGGTACGAGATTCCAAAAGAACCGCCATCCCCATCAACCAAGATTCCAAGACAAATATTTCCATGGGAAGCCCGCCAACCCGCCCCATCACGCTCATTTACTACCCCAACGGCGGACGAGCCCTTTGGGAAACCAAAAGCCGGCGAGTCGGATGAACAATATCAAGAGCCAACTCCTGCAGAGGCATTTGATACGCTCCCTGGACAATTTGCAACGGGACTCTCAGGAAGTGATGTGGCAGACAGGGACACCACAGCATGTAAAGGTGCTGTTTCGCCAGCGCCAGTTCCTGGTGATCCTTGGAGTTCTTATTCGCGAGTCAACGCTTGGGACGATGTGCCTGAAATCAGCCGATATGTTGACGGCTTGCAGAGACATCGTCGAACGGGGAGCCAAACAAGGGGTGGAACCATGGCGACTGTTCTAAGGCCTGCAGTATCAGGTGAAGCGTTGCAAATACCAAAGGCCTTTAAAGTTACAGACTTTCCAACGGAATTGGAACGACCGAGCTTACCAGTGACGCCAGCACCGATCAGGCGTCCCTCATGGCGGGAGAGTCATTACGACCCCTTCAGCTCAGCAGAGAACGCCCAGTTCCTTCCAACGGCTGAGGGTGTTCCGTCACAGTCAGAATGGGTATGTGTGCATGGGAGGCGCTGGGGGCCTGCCGATTGCCGGTGCGATTTGGCTGACGTAGGACTTCCTTACAAGGACCCTGCTGCCCAACTTCAACTGCTAGCCCAGCAGCAATCTGAAGCATTGCTCCGGAAACTCAGTGGCGATGATGGCGTGCCAGGGAAAATGGCAAGTCACGAAATTCCATCAAGACCATTGCCTTTTGGATCCGAACCCGGTCAGTCACCGACGTATGTGACACGATCCGCTCCTACAAGCGTCTTAAGCCCGCAGCCTATACGAGGGAAGTCCCCAACGGCTGTTCTCGTCGCGGATTTGACCGGTCGTAACGATGCATCGCCAGAAGGCACAACTAAAGAAGGCAACTCAGCTCCCTTAGTCAAAAAATTGACAAAACAGGCAGCGCCTGAGTAGGCCGTGCTCCTGCGGTTGGCATGTACATATCACGCAACATCCATATTGTACCTCTCATACCAGTCCAACATTCATTGCCCTTTATTTTGGATATCTCAGTTCTGTTTGGTCTCTAGCGAAATTGGCCGTATAATGTCATGTGAACGCGTGTTGTCGAGTCAATCTCGAAGTTTTTTTCATCTCTTCTCTTATCATTCTTATGCATATAATGAACCATGACCAGAGTATTTGCATGATCTTTTCCGTTTCAGTTTGCAAAGAACTAGTCATTCAGTTGTATTCTCAATCCCCTGCATATCAGCCTTGTCTATCTTTTAACTGGAGTTCAATATTCTGGTATTTACAAGAACAATCTATCTATACATTTCTATTGCTATCACTCGGGGGCTATTTGTAGTTCGTGGCGCCTCTGCACGTGCTGGTGACTTTCAGTGACCCCAAAGAAAGATTAGACAAGATGCAGCCGTGCGGAGATCAACGAGCTATAGCTGAAAGTTCATGGGACATGCTAACAGACAAGGCCCTGGCGTAACATTCCATTCCCTTGTATTGGCACCGTCTTGGTCTCGTCACCACGAATACTGTATACTGGGCTAAATATTTTATTACATCCGATCTTGCTGAAAAGACCAACGTAGTGGTATTGGCCATGACATGTTTAATCTTCTTTGCCTTCCTCAGCTTCCTCAACCGTGGCGGCTTTGGCCTTCCCTTTATCAACCTCAACAGGGTCTACGACGACCTCAGTGCTAGACCCCACAGCTCCATGATGGTGCAATTCGTCGCTAGCTAAATCTCTTTGTGCCGAGTGTTTTGGAGGCTCGTCGCGACCCTGGTCCCTCGGCGGTTCCGCATCGACGGGAGGGCTTGCTGTTCGAACAGCATTATCGACGACATCAGAACGTGATCTGTTATTGAATAATTGTGCAGGGCCGCCCCAATTTGGTATGAGAGGACTTGGGGAAACCACTGGAGTTGATCTCACTGTTTGGGAGCCAGCACTAGTACCGTCCCTAACACTGTCCCCTGATGTGGTCAACCGGGAGGAAGTCATATTGGGGTCCATGGACGAAGAATTTTCATCGCCGGCAGCCTCGGCAGTAGACGATGCTGCCGCAGGGCGGCTGGTTGACTGACTAGGATTTGGAGTTTCAGCATTGAGAGACGTTGCTGTGGTCTGAGATTGGTGGTGAGTCGGCTGTGTTCCATCCAGTCTCTGAAGTGGTATCAATGACCAGCCAGGAGGTAGCGTAATGCCTTCTGGGAGATCCGGGCTACCCGCAGGTATCGTTACACCATTTGCTGGAACTACATGGCGGGCCATAAATGGGCTGCCTATCCGCGGGGGAATGGTAGGAACCGCGTTACCCAGAGGAACTTGGGCGTGATTGCCTTGTGCCGCACCATGAAAGTTGTGACTTTGAGCCGTGGGTATAGTAACCGACGGGTTGCCACGTCCTCTTAATGGCTGGTCTTGGGACTGTTGCTGTCGGCGCTGGCGGAGTCGCTGGAGTTCAGCCATGAGAAGATGGGCTACTTGTAACTCTTGCTGGGCTGCCTGCAGATTTTGCAATTCCCTCTGCACAATTTGCTCGGTTTGACCAAGTAGATTCCCAATTTGCTGCATGCTGTCTCCGGACTGTTGTTGGGTCTGGGTTGGGGTTGGTGTAGGAAGACCATGATCGGCACGGTTCCCTTGGGCCTGAGGGATGCCAAATTGTTGGGCAAGTTCACGGGCCTGTTGGTCATTTGCTCCAAATCCAAGTCGGAATGGTCCCAAGTTGAAAACTCTAGGGCCGCCGTCCCTGCCGGGAGGAGCTTGGTCGCCATTATGTCCTTGCTGACCGGCTGGCGCATTGTTACCACCGTCGGCCGGTGGTGGTTGTCCAGCCAGTACTTGCGGGCCACCACCAATCTGAATCTGCAGACCTGCTGCCCTATTATGGCCCCCTCGTACACGATCCATGGTAACAGGGCTCCTACACGTCGGGCAGACCTGCTGACGCTCAAGCCAGCTCTTTAAGCATCCAAGATGTAGAACGTGGCCACATGGCAGCTTTTTTGGACGGACACGGTCAATTGCCCCAGGGTGATTGACAGGATCCCAAGGTCGCATCTCCTCTCGGCATATGATGCAAGTATTCTCCTGAGACAGTTCTTCCAGGGTGGCATCGGGGTATCTATTCATTTCTTGAATAGCGCGGCGATATCGCAGAAGTGCGTTTAGTCGCTTGATGAAATCTCTCGACGTGATGAAGAGATCTCTCATGATGTGAATAGGCAGCCCGTAAAACCTCAGCAACATGAAGAAGAAGGCAATATAAATACCGAGTTTTATCATATCTGTGCATAATTAGTTATCAATCGACTAACGGTCGGCTGTGTCCATGACTACTCTGTAACTTACCGGTAGCTAAATCAAGCCAAAGTACCCATTCACCTTTGCTTGTCCATCCAGGAACCTCAATATCCATCTCATCTATGTCCTCCTCGCGGGGAAGGGGCTCTTGGTCTTGAGGCGGCTCTTGCCCAGTGGCGGCAGCCTGCTCTCGTTCACGAATCAAAGCTTCTCGCTGTCGTCGAATCTCTTGTCTCCGTTCAATCAGACGTTTTTTGGTTTGAGCTTTCACAATATTCTGTTCTGCAATTGAGAGAATATAACGAACTGCAGTTCGCCAGGAACACGTGGCCAGCACAGCGAACTCGAACAAAAACATGACCATCATATTCGGTCTTGCTTGTTGGATCACAGTATCAACGGTGTATTTGAGGATCCAGATGTCGTATATGAAGCTGATGGCCAGGGAAACACTGAGTCTCACGTGGAATAGTCGGGGATTTGCTGGCGGCTGTTGTTCTAGAAATTCCACCCTTCCGTCGCCGATCCAACCCCATACCTTCCCGGTAACCAAGGAAGTAAACATGACCAGGAACCAGGCGCCAATCTCCTCGCGAAATATCGTCATTGCCAGGCATGTTTCCGTGATGGCAAACCAGGCTCTTTCGGTAAGTTGTTCGACTTCGACGGCTCGAAGAGTGCCAAAGCAAAGTTTGGTGAGGCCATATATAAAGCTGCTATATAGTAAGAGGCTGAAGTTTACCAGCGCCTTTGGGGCAGTATTAGTTAGCGCTTGCTTGGAGTCGTGCATGATACAGCATATGTGAGGGTAGGCAGGCTATTACCAGAAGACAGAAATTGCTTTGGGCCAGATAAACCATGGCTGAATAGAAGTTCGCACGTTGCTGAAAGGCTGAAATTACAACAGCGCCAGCAAGGGCCATGGAAACCTAGGAGATGAGTTAATTCCGATCCAGATATCTAGGGTCTCGAGCCTTGCAACAGTTGATGATGGCGTTGTCAAACATACCCCTGCGTACCACCCCAAGCGCATCTTGGGCATCGGGACTGTCTCTGTGTAAAGCAGGGAAAATCTCGTAATAAAATATCTGATTTGGTCTTATGGCTCCATCTTTGTTTCCGAGCAGCCGCAGCTTGGATGTTCGCCAGGAACGAAGCTAGATGCTCACGGGTATTTGATGCCACGTTATGCTAAGCTCCCTGATCGTAATCCACCCATGACGCAGGAGCAACCGAGTGCCGGTATCAGCACGTGACAGTTTGGGAAGACAAGATCCGATAAGATCCGGTAATTAGCCGGACACGCCATGCTTACCCAACGTACTTGCGATTGTGTATAACCCACTGACTAGAAACGAGATTCTAGTTCTGGAAAATGATATACTGCCTGCGACTTTGCAATAAACAGCGGTCCATGAGTTAGGTACCGGTTTCTGTCGTAGTTTACATTCGAGAAAAAGGGCAATACCTTGCACGGCGTTGTTGCAACAGATGTCTGGGGTACGACTGAGTATGATGCATCCGTAAGGAAACGGCGGACAGGTAATTCATGCGGCATTACCAACCCCGAAATGTTCCGAAGGTGAGGAACCGAACAAAAATACAAGACAAATTCGCTCCGATGTTTATACTTGATAACAGTTATTCAGCCTACCCTACCCTACCCTATGCTGAGTTTGTCACGTCCAGGCTGGAGCAATAGTAGTCGACGTTGAACCGTGTCTTGCCAGCTACCCTAGACAAACTTGAAATAACCAACCCAAGGGATCGTTCTCATGGCCGGGGAATCGAAAAAACCCCCTTCTGCAACCAAACAATAGTCCAGACTTTCTCCTTCTTCTTCTTTGGTGTGTGATTCAAGAAAGGACGCGCTGCCTGGCCGGTTTAGAACCTCGTCCCGAACAGCCCGCAACAGTGGAATTCACGAAGTGTCCTGGTCCCTGCAACCATCGACGATAAAAAAGCGCAATTAGTTAGCTGCCGGACTTGGTTGGCCAAGCAAATTGCCGTGCGGGGCGAATAGGGCATAATTTTGATCCTGTCTGCCTTATCACACTCCTGATGGAGCATGTTGGGCAGGGAAGAGACGGTGAGGGCTTCCAGGCAGAACGACAAACCTTGTCCCTGGAGTAGGCCGCAACACCAAGCGAATTGCCATTTGCAATGAGCAATACGGCGGCCACAGAGCCGCACCAAGCGGGGACACGGCGTCTACGGGAGCCGGAACTCGAATAAGCAGAGCCTACGTGTCTGCCGTGTGAACTAACGTCCGGCCTGAAGTTGTTGCAACCACTGAGTGAACAGAGGGACCTCGGTCCTGACGACTGCCGGGGAGGAGTCCAACGCAATAACAACCATGACGCCTGAGAGTCTGCCTGGCGGAATCAGGTTCCGCGATTAAGCGACTCTGCATTATTAAACGCAACCGCTCGACCAAGCAAGACGGCCGGCTTGGGTTGCCTATAAGACTATTTTTTCCAACTTTGGAACACTTTGCAAACAGCGCTTCTGATCACCCGACCGCCTGGGTCACGAATTGTACATTACGCGTACTTGACATCCAATAGGATGTGGCGAGATATCACTCCAACCCTGGTTGTCTATATCCCAATAATGGGTTGGCCGTCGCAATCCCAGTTAT